GGCAGTTCCTGAGTTCAGAATTCCTTAATGTTGATGTTACTCCCTGGAAATCTCTGGGAATTATATAAAATGCCAATAAACAAATACCAACCACTAAAAGCAGTGTAAAATCATTATAGGCACTCTGTTCCTGAAAGAAGGTTACATTTGCTTTGGGTAGGGACGGAGGAAGAGAGGAAAAAATGTGAGCAACCCCTTTTGCAAAATTACTGAATCAAATGACGAATCACTTTTTCCAGCAAACAAGCATCAACTCAAAGCATATAATTTTCCCCAAAGCTTTTTAGATGCTAGGTACAATAGCACAGTTCCCTGAGTCTCTGCTAAGGGAACAAAGTATATCCCTTGCTCGAGTTCACACTAAAGCAGCCTCTTTCTGTGGCCTCTATCCAAGAACTTCATTTAGACTCTGCTTTTCCCTTCCCCTGACAAATACCCAAGGAGTCCATGCCCTGATGCTACGAATAGACTGCGATGATGCAGAGGAAACCGATGTTGGCTATTTCAGATGGTCCTTTCACCATACACCCCCCTACAAGTCACATCAGAGGCACTCAGGGATTTCTCTCATGCTGACCCTCAAACCTCTCTTGGCCACCTTGCAGCTTTTCCCTCTCTTCTGGTTGCCCCCACCACAAGTCACAGCCTATGTTAAACAGGGCACAGATCCTCCTACCCCAGCTCTTGCTCAGCAATTGCTCACACCATAAGATAGCTACAGGGGCCCCAAGAGATGAAGGGTGAGCAGCTGCAGGAGCAGTAGTCTGTGATCTTGAAGACTTTAGAAAAACCTTCAGCAGCTTCACCCTCTGCCCATTTTAGCTTTATAAAGCATAAGTGCTGAAGATCGGGGACTTTCCTTAAGGATGTTTATAATGGGCACCATATCAAGCACCATGTTGCGAATCCCTGGTTCAGGACCAGGGCGCTGCTGCATACGTGGTAATCTCTCTCCCCTCACACATACCATGTTTGAAAATATAACCAATGTTAGCAAAAATAAAGCACTCAGAATTCAGTGCCACCCCAATTCACAACGTCTGGGTCATCCTAATTCAGGGTTTTTTTGCATCTGTATAGTATTTCGCATTATGATCAGAACAGAGTGAAAACTTTAGCTAAAACATTAATTGATTAAAAACACGTATTCAGCAACAGCAAATCATTTTGTGACTTCCTCTGTTCCACTCAATTGCTTGTGTGAAGGAAAAGCACCAAACAATGAAAGAACGTGTTCTGAACATTTTTTAAAGGAGCATCTCAGTTTTTAAAATCTGACATAACTCTTCAAGGAGAATTTCCCTTTGAATGGTCTTTAGAAAAGCCCAGCTATAGAAAATCCTTTGTTCAGTCTAAAATAGAACTCTTTTCCACTTCTCCAAACTGTGGATGAACCAAAAGACCAGTTAATTGCAGAGCTCCTGCTGTATCTGATACCTCCAGCCCCACCTCTAGTAGCGCTTGAAGTACCACATGCAAAATCGCTGTTACAAATGGCACACGTTTCAATGGACGTAGACTGAGGGCCTGGGGATGAAAACACAGCCTGAAGCAGTTCCCATCTGATGGGAAACTGCAACTACTGCAGAGTTAGGAAAAGTGACATTTCAAATGTTGCCTTGGTGCTCCTGATCCACCTCCCCCTTCAGGGACTCCCATATTAAATCATCTCACTTTACAAGTCAAAATAAGTTGTTTCTGACTGTCACCACTGACTATTGCTGTCTGAAAAATCAAGCTGTTTTCTCTCTACTTTATACATTACCCCCAGATATGAAGACTGCAAACTCTGAATGTAATTGGCAATTCTCTTGACAATGTACAAGGTAAAACAGAAGCAGCATGTTCCTCAGCTGCTCAATCGGATCTGGAACAATGACAGCAGTTATAATTGCTATCTACCACTTAAATAGCCAGATATTATATGACTCAGAAAATGGAACCTAACAGATTATTAGGACCAAGATGCCAGTTGTGTCACAGGTACATTTCCAGCTAAATTTTTTTAATGTCAGAGGAAGCTAATGGTGGAGGCTGAGACATAGATTAAATTCGCCATGCTCGGTCAGCAGGATGCAACTACACTCGCTCTCTGGGAGATGTATTCAGGTAAGAAAGTCTCCCTCGGGGAAATTATAGGTATCTCTTTGCCAAGTAGTTTAGGCATCATGTATCCTTACAGTTAGCATTGCAATGACCTAAGAACGAAGAATTTATGAACATTTCTGCACGGGTGAAAGGTGCCCAACTGAAAAGCTTCGGGAATGGGGCACTTTGACTCCTAACACTGCAGCCTTCCCTCTTCCTCCCCAGGGACCAACTCCCAGAGGCAACTGGACGCAGCACTGGCCTTTCAGGACATTTGAAATGCAAATACAGTTTTATTTACTTCCTGATCCTGGGCTCAAAACATCTGCAGCTCTATAAATGAAAAGCAACCACTTCTATTTAGCAACTTCTTCTGCCCCTGCTTCATTCTGCCAGGAGGCAAAGAGCACGCTTTGATGTCACCATGACACAGCACGGGTGTTGTGGTGATGTTTGAGAACTTCTGGCTGGGCTCCCCAGGCAGTTGGCACCATTGCCCTTCATCTTGCATCTTGTCTAGCAGCAGGAAGCCTGGCTGGTCAGGAAATGGCTACAGGTGGAAATTTTGGTCAAATCAAGAAAAAAAATTTTAAAATGGAGCCTTCTTCAGCACTGACATCCTGGGTTTCTGTTCCAGATGAGCCAGTGGAGTCGGTAGCCTCAACTTTTGTCCCTTGAGTATGTTGTAGAAGAGCAGCTGGTGACGCTGCCTTAACCTCTATAATAGAGGAAAAGGCTTTTCAATGTTCGCATTGTGAACCCTGGGCCATGAGTATACAGTTTAGTTTTTCAGAGGAGAGCTTTGGCGAAGTCAATGACTTTTTATCCCACTCCTTCCTGAAAAAACTCTGGAAAATTGTTGGATGCGATTGGTTTCAGTCAATTTCATGGGGTGATGCTGGAAACTGTGTAGTGATTGCTGAAAAAAGTCTTCAAAAGGGAAATGCTGGGAAGGAGAGGACATCTGTAAAATTTTGAAACCGATTCCATGAAAACTTTCCATTCATCAGCTTAATCTTCATGGATTCAGCAAAATGGAAGGGAATTCTCCAACACCTGCCTCACCTGACAAACTTCAAGCATTAGCAGCAGCAGGTTCTGCTTTTAGCAAGGTACTTCAGTCCCTTTGCACATGAAATAACTCTCAGGATATTTGAGTAGGATAGGTGTTCATCCCACACTGTGGTGCCTCAAAATTAGTGGTATTTGGGTTTCTAAGTCAGTTTGTATGCTTTTGAAATCCTACGCTTCTCTGCTGCTCCCAAACGGCAAAAACGCCAGGGTGGTTAGTACTTAACAGAACTGTATCATAACATTTTATTCCAGCTTATTCATCTTTAAAATGCCCCTGAGAGTCCTTTCTAATATCCATGTTTGTCTTTTGTGAGTCTAATGCTTAGTTATCATATCTTCGTCTTTCTCAGTCTGGAAATAGTGGCAACTAACTCCTCACCTTTACATTTTTTAGTTACTCTTCTACTGTAACTCCTATTTCAAGAGAGATTATCCCCACATGCTACAAACCTGTAAGCAGAGTGCTGGTGTAAAAAACACAGCACCAGCTGCATTCTCACTGGACCCAGATTTGAAGAAAGGCTGCCTGAGGAGAAGCCCAGATGTTCAGCCAGCAGTAGGAGCTGCTTCTGCAGAGGAGAATATCCCTTCTTAGCAACTCCACAGAGGACACCCAGACATCTGCACCCAGCACCTCCACACCTACCAAGCCACGTGTTAAAGCATCAACACAGATTGGAAGTGCCTGTACCTCTGTACACACAATTTCTCTGACACTTTCAGGCCCTGCTGCAGCACTGGGTAGCGAGAAGTTCAAGCCTCAGGCCCCATCCCTATCACCACAGTCCTGTTGGTGTCCAGGCTGCAGCTTCTGCTCCATCTGATACTTCAACTACATCACATTCCTTTCACAGCAGGGCTGGGGCTTCCCACCTTTCCGTTCGGGCTTCCACATTTAGCAGCTATGCAGGCTCCCTGGGCTAGCCTGCTTCCCTTCTGTGAGCCATAGCTTTCAATGTCCATGTTAGCAGTAGCCTCTGCTGCTGCTATGCTAAGGCCACCTCCCAGTCAAGCTCCAGCATACCCTCGTTGCCCTACCTGCATCTGCCATCCAAATAAATCTTTTCTAGTTGTCTTGTCCTGTCTCTACAATCTCACAGTTACAGTCTCTACACCCCAATGGGTTGCCTGCAGGGAGATGAACTGGTTTGCTCCAGCCCAGGGAAGCCAAAGGCCCCAGGCACTAGCAGTGCACTCAGCAAAACCCAGCAAAAGGGTAGCACGTGGCAAATCCAGTAGCTGCACCAGCAGCAAATGGTACACAGCAGTGCTATACAGTGCAGTCTGACCATGGAAAGAGTCCCTGAATTAGGTCCTAGGATGAAAGAGCTGAGTATGTGATTTCACCTCCCAATTTAAACATCCATATGCCAGATGATGACAACTGCCTATTAAACTGCAACTGGGAATCAGCAGACAAACTTCATTTCATGCCTTGTCCCAATTACTTTAAAATAGGTATTGCTGAGTCAGTGACTTGGATTACAGAAATCAGAGATTTTTAATAGAATTTGACAGCTTTTCAGATTTGCACGAAGTCCTCTAGAAGCAGGTCAAAGTGAGAACACTAGTTCTAGTGAGGTTCACAGGTGGAAACAAACTTCCTACAAAAATGCACCCAATGAAATCATTAATGCCACGGAGGTTATCTATCTTCCCTCCACACATCCCACAGCCAGGATCCCTCCTTTCAGTGCTGCGTTCCTAGTGTTCCCCTGGGTGTCTGCTTCCCTGCTCAGCACAGATCTCCTTCCCCAAGGCAAAGGCCTTTAGCCTCTGGCCATCAGCGCTCCCATTCAGCAGCAGGGCTATGAAACACCCCAGCTGGCGTAACTCACAGTTGGCCTCTTCCATTGTATTTGCCACAGCTTATCCTCTGAGAGCAGGTTGGGACCAATGGAGCTGATGTGAGCGGGGAAGGTGGCATCCTCAAAAAGCAGTCCTTGGCTCAGACACAAGGCTCGCAGGCGGTCGAAGTCCTGGTTATTAAATTTCTTCAGGTTATGGAGGCTTCCTGTTGCTCCTGTTGTTTGCCAGCCCTGCTCCAACGTCAGAGCAGAGCCGGGGGCGAGCATTGTGCCCTTTCCTGTGAAGGAGAGACAGGGACTGCCATTAGTTCCCCAATCTGAAGTGGTGCCTTAGGAGTGTGTGGGAAAGCAAACACCTCCCACCCTGCCCCAAGAGGATTGTGGAGCAGCAGCTTGCAGAGCTGAGGGCAGTCACAGTGACAAAATCCTTATTAGCTGGAAATGCCTGGGGAAA